TGACCTCCAAGACAACTGACATCAAACTTGTGCAGGGTTAACTGAAAAACTCTTAGCTTTACCATCGGCTGTAAAAGCCACCTACTATATAGGTTCAGAGAAAACATAAGGGAGATCAAGCCTTAGTCCCTCCTAGATTAATATGATGCCTTGTACACCATACAACTCCCTGCTACTCTCAAACATGTAACATATTACACAAAACACATACATTAGACATTGTCCCTTAAAAAGGCATATTTACCAGATCAGAGGTACAAACAAAAACAAAAAACTACAAGCTTGTCACTTTAAAACAGTGTAAGTAGTGACTGAGATCTCTTGTTAACTGAACTCACAAAACCCCTTAAATCAAAAGGCTTTTGGACCATGGACTCAATGAGTCGATTGATTCTTTTGCTAACCCTGCCTGCCCTTGTCCTGACTACAGGTTCAGTTTCTACTGTCGATTGTACCTGTGTAACTGTGACATGACCTGTGTCTGCAGGATGTGACTGAGTGTTTAGGTGTCCTGAATGTACATGTGACATGAATGATGAGTCTGAGTCAGCCCCTGCAACTAAACTGTCGAAGTTAGTGTCTCTGCTGGACCGGTTCTGGTCATTTGGGAAGCACTGAATTGGACCATCTGCAGACCAGTCCACTTCTGGAATGCCCTGACTTGACTGATCCACCTCAGACGATCGTTCACTCATAATCATTTGACTCCGGGTTTCCTCTGATCCACTCATTATCCACGTACTGGTCCTGCCTCTTGAATCCTCCTCCTCCTCCAAAGAGTCCAGGGAATCAGTCGTATACGACCTTTCCTCCACTTCAGTATCACACAATTCTTCTCCAGTTGTCACCACAGGCAAAAAGCTGATGTCTAAGACCAGGTTTCGATGAACTATCTTAGTGTTTCCACTACTGTCCACCAGCTTGTATGTGTGTGTCTGCAGGTTTCTGTCTTTAACTGTGTACACAATTGCACTCCATTTGTCAGCCAGTTTCTTCTTTCCTCTCTCACCTTTGTTTGCAATGAGCACTCTGTCCCCTAAGTTCAGGTGAATGCCTCTCACTTTTCTGTTGTAACCACTTGCTTGTTTGTCCTGTTCTTTGATGCTGTGTTCTTGGGCAATTCTTACTGCTTCATGAAGATGTGACATGAGCGTTTTGGCATAGCTTTTGTAATCAACAACCACTGGATCATGCAACACTTGCTTGAACATCACATCCACAGGGAGCCTCGGGGTTCTGCCGAACATAAGCTGGAACGGTGCATATCCTGTTGTTTCATGTACTGTTGCATTATATGCAAAAGTCAGAGCTTGTATCTGTTGAGGCCACTTGTGTTTCTCTTTTAGAGAGAGAGACCGCAGCATATTCCCAAGTGTTCGATTGAATCTTTCTGTTCCTCCATTTCCCATTGGATGGTATGCAGTAGTGTGTGATTTGGAGACTCCGGAAAGTTTGAGCAATTCTGCTATGAGCTCACTCTCAAAATTAGCTCCCTGATCGGAGTGAACACGCTCTGGAAAGCCATACACACAAAACACGTGATCCCACAGCTTCTTGGCGACCTGTTTTGCAGTCTGATTAGTGCATGGAAAAGCGTGGGCTAGCTTTGTGAAGTGGTCTGTCAAGACAAGAACATCCACTGAGTGCTGCTTACTATCCTCCGCACTCCAGAAGTCTATGCACACTAACTCCATGGGGGCAGACGTCCTGATGCTTTTAAGTGGGGCTCGAGCCGAGGGTTCTGGTGTCTTCGCCAGAATGCACCTTTGACAGCATTTGACATACTCTTTGACATCAGACTCCATCTTCGGCCAAAAGAACCGCTGTCTTGCTAGATGCAAGGTCCTAGCCTGTCCCTGATGCCCAGCAACATCATGAATGCCATGTAATGCTTTTTCTTTAAGACTGTCAGGCAGAACATACTGATGCCTCTTTTGTTTACTGAAATTATCCTTGGTGACCCGATAGAGGACACCATTCTGAACCTTCAGTCTCTCCCATTGTTTGATGAGAACCATAACTTTGGCATCTAGTCCTGATCGTTCACGTCTGGAAGGACGGCGGTTGCGAAGCACAAATGGTAGGAGTTTTGAAATAATGAGATCAAATTCCTGACTGTGCTTGAGTTCCTCTAACGAGAACACAGGAAGGGAGTCTTGGCCCGGCAGCAACAGATCCTGGACAGTCTGAGCCAACTCCACAGCTCTCGTCTCGGCAGCAATCTCCCACTGAGCATGAACATCTAAAAGAGCCTTGACAGCTACAGAATCACTGTGACACATGAGGGGGTCAGATTGAGACTTAATGCTGCCACCAGGTAACTTCTTCATCTGCTGACACTGGACTTTGAGTCGGAAAGTGTCTTGAATGCCGTCGTGACTAACACCCTCGGCTTCAGCAAGAAGGTGACTGTACTGCTCTGTGATGAGCCTGTGGCTTACTGATCTTGCGAAAGGATCTCTGCTGAGAGCATCAGCCACTATGTTCTTGGTGCCAGGTATATGTCTCAGGTCGAATGTGTAAGGAGCGAGCCTAGACACCCAGCGCTGTTCGCACGCATCAAGCTTCGGTTTCGTCAGGATGTAGGTAAGAGGGTTATTATCAGTCCATACTGTAAATTCATGGCCTTTTAACCAATGGCTAAATTTTTCACACACACTCCATTTCAGGGCCAGAAACTCAAGCCTATGGGCGGGATATCTCTTCTGAGAGCCACTGAGAGTCTTACTTGCAAATGCAATGGGACGTGCTTTCTCTTCACCAGCTGGTATCTGTGATAGCACGGCCCCTAGCCCGTCCAGAGAGGCATCAATAGATAGAATCAGAGGGCGAGAGAAATCTGGGTGTGAGAGGACGACGTAGCTCAAGAGACTGTCTTTCAGATTACAAAGAGCCGCATCACATTCCTCTGTCCAATCAGAGGGTTTCAGTTTCCTGAAGGAGCCGGTATTGGAGTTTAGTTTGACTCTCCCTCGTCTCTTTTGGCCTGCAGTAAGAGCAAACAGTGGCTTGGCCATAGCAGAACAGTTAGAGATAAAATGTTGATAGTAGAACACCATCCCCAGAAAATACTTTATCCTCTTTACTGATGGTGTGCAACCATCGTCTTCCATCAGGTCCAACTTTGACATTTTTGATATGACCTCAACTTTTGCTGGATCCATAGCCACTCCATTACCATCTATAATGTGACCTAGGAACTTGACTGAAGATCTCATCAGGTGGCATTTCTTTGGACTCAGTTTAAGGTTGTGAAGCCTGAGCCGCTGAAAAACAACCTCCAGCCTCTCCAACGCCTCTTCTTCAGTTGCAGCAAACACAAGCAGATCATCAAGATAACACAGCAAACTGCTGAAGTTCAGGTCTCCAAATATGCTGAGCATCATGCGCATGAATGAGGCAGGACTGTTGCACAAACCTTGGGGCATCCTGTTGAATTCATACAGTCCCATTGGAGTAGTGAATGCAGTGTATTTCTTGTCCTCCTCTGCCATTGGGATGTTATAGAAGCCAGAGGTCAGATCCATTGTGCTGAAGTAGGTGTTCCCACCCAGGGAAGCCAAGCAGTCTGACTGGTGTGGTAATGGGTGCGCATCCTTGAGCGTCCTTGCATTCAGCCACCTGAAGTCTGTGCAGAGTCTCAAACTGCCATCTTTTTTCCACACAAGTACAAGGGGAGAGGCATAATCACTTACTGACTTCCTGATGATCTCCTGTTCTTCCATTTCTGAAAGGACCTGTCGCAGTTTCTGGTAATGGGCTGGTGGCACCCGCCGGTAAGGGAGACGGAATGGTCTCTCATCAGTGAGCCTGATGCGGTGCATGAAGCCCTCTGCCTCACCGCAGTCCAGAGCATGTTTGGAGAAAATGTCATTGTACTTTTCAAGCAGCGCGACCAACCTCTTCTTTCCTCCTTGGCCAGCCTGGCACTGATCGATATCAACCTCAGTCAGTCCAACCTGTTGTAGTCGCTGCTTGAAATCTGTAGGTTTAGCCTTGCCATGACTTTCCTCCTCCTTAACGTTGTTGAGTTGGCTGGTACCTTGAAAAACCTCAAACTCTTCAACAGCTAGACAGGGGAACACGTCGGCCAACTTGCTGTTTCTTTTCAGGGTGATAGGCTTGTCTGACACGTTTGTGACTTTCATTGGGATCCATCTGTCACCCCACAATGGTGTAATAACACGACAGATCATGATGTTACGAGGCATGCACTTGGATGAGGTGGGCTCAACTATTACTGTGCTGCCTGGAGACATGGGAGCGTTATTTGGCAACTTACCCCAAACAAGATGTTCTTTCTTAGCCAACAGCGTAACCGCCTGCTGGAGTTTAACGGTCCCGATTCTGTCTGGAAGCTCCTCGCCTCTCCACCTGGATGAGTTTGCCATGAGATCAAGGAACTGTTCACACTCTGGGAGAAGATTTCCACTGGAAACCAGGCGCCAATAGTCACTGGTTATTTTCAGCTGATGCATGATAAATCTGATGACATTTGTGCCTATGATTAAGTCATCTCGTTGGCCAGGCACCACAAGGACAGGTACGATACAGCTCTCCCCATACAGTTTCATTTCCACTTCGTACATACACTTGGGTTTGCTAAGTGTCCCTCCACAGCCTATTAGCACAATCTCTTGAGTCAAAGGAATGGATTCTGAGAGTATATTCTCACTCAACATCTTCTGCTCTGCCTGCTCGCTGAGAGTACAAGCCATGGAACCAGAGTTAAGCATCCCCTGCACCTGAAATGTGTTGTTAATGCTAACAGGGGTGTAAAACAACTCATCAAAAGGGCCCACTCTCTGTGTATTTTGCACTATTACCTTAGCATCGGCTGGTGCTGCTGCGCATGCTTTTATATAATGAGTTTCAATATCACCACTGTTGAGGGTTTCTTCTCTGTTTCCCACACATTCCCTCACTAAATGCGGGCCAGTTAGTTTAAAGGTTGAGAATTCTGTGGCGGGAAAGCCGGAGAACCTCGGCCAGCCTGACGGTTAGGACAGTTCTTCTTGATGTGGTTTGGCTCGAAGCACACAGAGGCGTTTCTGCCTGCAGTGTGCAAGGGTGGAATGATCTAGAGACTGGCAGACCCTGCAGGCTTTCGGTTGAAATGGATCAGAGGGGAGTGGTTTGTGTGTAACCTGGTTGTTCTGTGACAATGCTCTGTCAAATAAACTGACTAACATTTTCATACAGTCATCATTACAAGAGGGCTTGGATGCTGTGCTGTCCTCACCTTGCATAGATGGCTCCCGTGGGTGACATACTATCTCTGAAACGTCAGGTGCGGAAACCTGGACATGAACTGTCACTGGTTTAACTCTCTTTGATTTGGAAAGCACCTGTTCTTTCATTTCAGTTTGGTAGCGATCAATATGCTCTTGGATTTCACTAGCTGTCCACTTATCTGGTGCCTTAAACTTGAAAACAGCAGCAAGGGTGGGATCTGGGCAGTATTTGACAAACATCATCGCTACTTCCTGACAAGAATCCTCCATCTTCCGCCCTAGCCTCTTCAAGCCCTCCTCCGCTGCATCAACTGCCTTGTTTAGCCGAAGCCAGTACTCTACGGGGGACTCTCCTGCCACTGGAACTGTACTGTAGAAATCAGCCATGGGCATACATGAATAGGTCACATCACTAAAGTGTTGTCTGAGGATGTCATAGATCAATTGTGGGTTATCTTGAGGCTTCATGGATGGGCAGCTCCTCAGAGTTATCCTCACTATGTCTTTAGCCTTGCCCATTAACTTAGACATGATCTCAATGTGCTGTTCTCTCAGAGGTGTGGCTCGTTTCCTGAAATACACTCCCATTAACTCTTCCCACTCACAGACTGTATTCTTGTCAGATCCATCTCCTCTGAAGACTGGAGGCTCTCTCACATCTGACTGCAACACTAACTTTGCACCAGTCAAGTTGAGGTAAGTGTGGTCACTGGGTAACTGGCCAACACCGCTCTGAGCTGGTGTGGCTCCAACACCCCTCTCTTCACATTCCCCCCTTAACTGATCTCTTATAGTCTGTCCTACCTGCTGAGCAATGTGTGTTATCAGGTTATTTAAAGCTGCATCATTTGTATCTGGAAGGCTTGAATGTGAATCCTCCTCCCTCTGAGGTGATGCTACATGACCTGGCAAGCGAGTAGAACAAAAAGCTGGCGAATCTACATTAGCTGTACCTCTGACTGGTATAAAAGGGTACCCGCTGATGGGTTTCCCTCTTCCAAAACCGAAACTAAAACTGTCAGTTAGAACATTGTCCTCATCCATTTTACCAGTAACATATGTCATTTTTAACCCTGTATACCAAACTTCAAAATTCAGTATACAATAAAATACAGAAATGACAAATGTACTCTCTAAACAATGAATGTAAAAATAATTACAGAGAGAAAAAAAAAAAAAAAAAAAAAACAGTTTCCTCTATGTAATTCCTTCTCTTCAATACATGAAAGTAAGTGTGCGGCGTGTAGCAACCTCTGGTGACCAAGCTGGTGTTGATCCACAGCCTCAGGAACGACGATGGAACAGTCTGAAGCACTGTGAATCCGGGTCACGGCACCACTGAAACCGGTCTGGTTTGACGCCACATGTGATCTCTGCGTTGTGTTATGTTGTGTAAATGAGAACGACTTCTTTCTTGCCGACCAGGATTTATTCTCTGTGCAAAACAGAATATAATAATTAAAGCAGGAAATGGCTTCATCAGCTTTCTAACTTCACACTTCTCCTCAGTGGGGCCTGAAGCTAACTCAGGAAAGTATACAGAGTTCTAAATAATACAATTAACAGATATACATCTATCCATGGTGGCAAACCAGTTTTTCCTTGTAAACCAATATACACAAATATAACCATTAATTTACACTTACATAACAAACAATACAATTTACAGTTACAAAATACAAAAAGAATACCCACATACCTGTGCAAAACAGAATATAATAATTAAAGCAGGAAATGGCTTCATCAGCTTTCTAACTTCACACCTTCAGTGGAAGAAAACACGCACATGTTAGGTTAGCATATAGCTAAACTTTAGAAAGCTCCCAAACACTGTTTGAAGCGCTGCACATTATATAAACTACAGTCACACACGGCAAAATATAGATATTAACTGCAAATAGGTTTGGCTTGTGTGAAGTGTAACATTAAACAATCTATTAACATATAAAATACAACATTTATGACACCACTCGTTCCACTTACTTCTCCTCAGTGGGGCCTGAAGCTAACTGAGGAAAGTAGCGCGAGTCTGCAGAAATGTGCCGGTGCCATGAGTACCAAAATAAAACGTACTTTTCAAAATAAAAGCATCTAAAAAATAAAGTGACAGTGACAAGTTTTACAAATAAAGTATGGACAATGATTTTACTGAAATATAAACAAGTGAAGTTATACATTGGTTACACTTAGTAAAAGTAGTATCTGTTGACAGCAGAGAGGAACCTGCTGGAGGATTTAAAACTACAGCACCAAGAAAAATTAATGCTCACTCGTAAATGAACTGCAGTGTATAGAATATACAGTAAGAGTCTTCACTCTATCTTTGGATACCATTTTTTTAAAGCAATAGAAAGATACCTCTGCCAAGGCTAAACTTGCCTATAAAAATATAGTTTTATAATACAACACAATACCATACAATTATTTTCCTATTATGATTTTTAAAAGCTATTTCCTAGCTCATAAAAAGTTAACAATGAATTGATGTGTGTATTATTATTTTACTTTGGATCTTTAACAACAAATCACTTGAAGACACAGAAGGAAAAAAAAACACACAAAAGCTAAACCTATGTCATGCTCTGCCCTGCTAATTTGAATAAAAATAACATTCTCAGATCATTTGTCGCTCCTCTTTTTCCTGCCCAGCGGATTGTTGCCCTTTGTTCCGGCCGAACGGTGGCTGCTGAAGGGTTATCATCAGACCCGGCGCCAGAACAAATCTGAAGGGAGGGCATATGATTTTCATGGGAGGGCACACAAAACCGTCACGTGCTGCGGGCCTGCGGCACAATATACATCAAACAGCAAGGCCAACAGCATTGGGTAAAGACGCACACTTATCGCAAATGCATACACAAATAAAGGGCAACATAGAAACCACTTTTGAAACCTTGTGTGCGTGGCAGCACAAACACTGGTAAATCACGAGCAAGGCACACTGGTTAAGGATGGCAGCTTCCTCATCGTTGCACTCGGAGAGAAATAGAGTCGGAGACGATGAACTGTTTAACCCGCCTTGGGCATGGTTTATTTTCCTATGCACTGCAGGTGCATCCTTTCGCTCAGCCGAGCTTAACTTAGAACATTATTTTGGCCAACTCTGCATCTTTGTACTGCAGCGTATACTCAAACAGTATTAGGAAGAGCCCACTGCCTGACTCGGACATGCTGTGGAGTGAATCGTGGTCACCTCTGAGAGGGAGTTGGTTGACGGCTAAAAAAGCTATAATATCAACGACAGCTGACACGTAATAACGGTTCCGTGCCAGCTGATCTGCACCAAAGTTCTAATTTCCTTATTTGTTTCCTCGCGTATCTGTCTCTCTCTCCACAAACTCTCACATGAAATGTGTTCTTTTGATGCTGCATGCATTAGCAGTCCTTTATCAGTCTGTAATGCGTGTTTCCAGTCGCAAAAACCTTTGACAGTAAAAGCCGCATCAGATGAAGACGTATTTACTTTAAAGTGTCTACAGGGGAAACAAAAGGCTGCGTCTGCTTTTAACGAATATTCAAGCCATGGTCTGTTGTTGTACCAAAGCAAAGCAATCTCCCTGGATAACGATCCAGTTTCATCTGGTTGGGTTTATTAACCCCAAGATCATCTGGGGCTGTTGGTCTTTGAGCGTTTGCTTTTCAGCCAATTTCTGATGTCCATTTTGTAATTCAAACAGAAATGGGAGTCCACAGAATGCACAATAAACAAATAAATCCAGAAGGCGGCAGAGTGTGACGCCTTCTGGATTGGTCTAAATGTGGACGAATCACAAAACAGACACATGAATTTATTTGACATAGCCTGCGATTTTTTGTTTTAGTTACTATCTAACATCAGATACATCGTAGCATAAAAGTTCACAGTTTATTTATAATTAAAAAAATTTAAAAAATATATTTTTTAAATGTTATAAATAATAAAAAAACGTGTATATTGGGGGAGGGCAGGAATGTCAAATGGGAGGGCCTGGCCCTCCCACGGCGCTGGGCATGGTTATCATGTCAATCATTAACTGTCAGCTCAATGCTTAGTAAAAGTAGTATCTGTTGACAGCAGAGAGGAACCTGCTGGAGGATTTAAAACTACAGCACCAAGAAAAATTAATGCTCACTCGTAAATGAACTGCAGTGTATAGAATATACAGTAAGAGTCTTCACTCTATCTTTGGATACCATTTTTTTTAAAGCAATAGAAAGATACCTCTGCCAAGGCTAAACTTGCCTATAAAAATATAGTTTTATAATACAACACAATACCATACAATTATTTTCCTATTATGATTTTTAAAAGCTATTTCCTAGCTCATAAAAAGTTAACAATGAATTGATGTGTGTATTATTATTTTACTTTGGATCTTTAACAACAAATCACTTGAAGACACAGAAGAAAAAAAAACACACAAAAGCTAAACCTATGTCATGCTCTGCCCTGCTAATTTGAATAAAAATAACATTCTCAGATCATTCGTCGCTCCTCTTTTTCCTGCCCAGCGGATTGTTGCCCTTTGTCCCGGCCGAACGGTGGCTGCTGAAGGGTTATCATCAGACCCGGCGCCAGAACAAATCTGAAGGGAGGGCATATGATTTTCATGGGAGGGCACACAAAACCGTCACGTGCTGCGGGCCTGCGGCACAATATACATCAAACAGCAAGGCCAACAGCATTGCGTAAAGACGCACACTTATCGCAAATACATACACAAATAAAGGGCAACATAGAAACCACTTTTGAAACCTTGTGTGCGGGGCAGCACAAACACTGGTAAATCACGAGCTAGGCACACTGGTTAAGGATGGCAGCTTCCTCATCGTTGCACTCGGAGAGAAATAGAGACGGAGACGATGAACTGTTTAACCCGCCTTGGGCATGGTTTATTTTCCTATGCACTGCAGGTGCATCCTTTCGCTCAGCCGAGCTAACTTAGAACATTATTTTGGCCAACTCTGCATCTTTGTACTGCAGCGTATACTCAAACAGTGATAGGAAGAGCTCACTGCCTGACTCGGACATGCTGTGGAGTGAATCGTGGTCACCTCTGAGAGGGAGTTGGTTGACGGCTAAAAAAGCTATAATATCAACGACAGCTGACACGTAATAACGGTTCCGTGCCAGCTGATCTGCACCAAAGTTCTAATTTCCTTATTTGTTTCCTCGCGTATCTGTCTCTCTCTCCACAAACTCTCACATGAAATGTGTTCTTTTGATGCTGCATGCATTAGCAGTCCTTTATCAGTCTGTAATGCGTGTTTCCAGTCGCAAAAACCTTTGACAGTAAAAGCCGCATCAGATGAAGACGTATTTACTTTAAAGTGTCTACAGGGGAAACAAAAGGCTGCGTCTGCTTTTAACGAATATTCAAGCCATGGTCTGTTGTTGTACCAAAGCAAAGCAATCTCCCTGGATAACGATCCAGTTTCACCTGGTTGGGTTTATTAACCCCAAGATCATCTGGGGCTGTTGGTCTTTGAGCGTTTGCTTTTCAGCCAATTTCTGATGTCCATTTTGTAATTCAAACAGAAATGGGAGTCCACAGAATGCACAATAAACAAATAAATCCAGAGGGCGGCAGAGTGTGACGCCTTCTGGATTGGTCTAAATGTGGACGAATCACAAAACAGACACATGAATTTATTTGACATAGCCTGCGATTTTTTGTTTTAGTTACTATCTAACATCAGATACATCGTAGCATAAAAGTTCACAGTTTATTTATAATAAAAAAAATAAAAAAATAAAAAATGTTTAATGTTATAAATAATAAAAAAACGTGTATATTGGGGGAGGGCAGGAATGTCAAATGGGAGGGCCTGGCCCTCCCTGGCCCTCCCACGGCGCCGGGCATGGTTATCATGTCAATCATTAACTGTCAGCTCAATGCTTAGTAAAAGTAGTATCTGTTGACAGCAGAGAGGAACCTGCTGGAGGATTTAAAACTACAGCACCAAGAACAATTAATGCTCACTCGTAAATGAACTGCAGTGTTTAGAATATACAGTAAGAGTCTTCACTCTATCTTTGGATACCATTTTTTTAAAGCAATAGAAAGATACCTCTGCCAAGGCTAAACTTGCCTATAAAAATATAGTTTTATAATACAACACAATACCATACAATTATTTTCCTATTATGATTTTTAAAAGCTATTTCATAAAAAGTTAACAATGAATTGATGTGTGTATCATAACAAGGCTAACGTGAGTTAATATCAGTTGCGTGCCTCAAGCTCTATCTGTCGTCCCTGGAAACAGTGGTTATGGTCTGTGAGTAATATGCAGCATGTTTAATCGATGCTGCCATGTTGGTGATGTTTTCTTATTTACTGGTGTTATTTCCATTTGCATGTATAGTTATGAACCCTGACAAACTGTTTGTTACAGGGCCCTGAAGTAATGTGAAATTCTTATGATTATTCTTTTTATTAGGATTTAACAGATTTGGTAGAGATTTCTTCTCCTTGAGTGCCATCTACTTTTGTGGATTTTTTTCATGTTGTTTATTGTATCAACAATTATTTTGTGATTTATACAATGATTTCCATCAGTGATTTCCTTTGTTGTCTTTATTTCTTTTATAACAAGTACCAAAATATCTCAAAACACATACATACTTCCATGACCCATTATCCATTGCCCAAATATTTAATCAGCATTTCGCTAATGTATGTTCCACACTACTATCTGACTCCTATCTGACGACTGGTATTTCTAATAGTAACTCATACTGCAACAGTTCTTTTTCTTTTAAGAAAATTCTACCACACGAAGTTCATAATGCTATCACAGAATTAAAAGTGGAAGGCAGTGCAGGACTCGATGGTATAGAAAACAGGTTCATAAAACTGGCGTCCCATATTCTCATGTACCCATATGCTGATTTGTTCAACCTGTCTTTGTCCAGTGAGTTGCCGACTATTTGGAAATGTGCACGCATCATTCCACTGCATAAAGGTGGTGATTTACTTGATACAAATAATTATAGACCAATCTCTATAATCTGCTCTATTTCCAAAGTTTTGGAGAAAATAATTTATAATCAACTGTCACATTATCTCAATACTTATAATATTTTATCTCCGGTTCAATCTGGTTTCAGGCCTAATCACTCCACAACAACTGCCCTACTTAAATTTACGATTGACTTGTACTCTGCTGCAGATGATGGTGAACTCACAGGTGCC